TTTGTTCAGTGCTCGGATCCATTTTCTTCAAGCTGTTTAGGATGGGTTGGAACGAGGGTGCCTCTACAAAATAGCGGGTAAACTCAATGACACAGTTCAACGTGTTTGCCAAATCATTTTTCCACACAGTATGTAGTTTTCTTTCGAGCCATTCCTCCGATTTTCCTTGTTGCCTGTAGTTTTTTTTCTTGAGCTTCATGTCGTGTAGGCTCCTGTCATGCACCCTATTCTATATACGCTGTAAACCCACATTTTGCCACTCGTTGGCCTCGAGGTCATGCCATTTAGATTTAGTATTAACATCACCACCCCCTTTCTGCGTCAATACCATCATCATCGTATCATGCACGTTTTCTCTTAGGCTTAAATTCATTTTCGGGGCACCATGTATTGATATGTTTCTGTAAACCATGCATGTTATCTATCAAGATGCCACAGTCAGCGCAAGCAGTGGCCATGGTGAAAGGTCCCGAGTCCTCACTGGAAGTGGATGCTGTCTCCTCGTCAAGATCGTAAGATGTTTCTCCTACAGAAGATCTTTCTTCCAGTGTGTACTGCTTGGATGGAAGTTCTTGGACCATTTGCTGCTCTGTTGATGGAGAGCTCCCTTTTAACTCCTGCTGTTGTGAACTACACTCAGAGTCATGATGGATGGTTGTCAATATATTGACATGCAATCTGTTCTTCTCACTCGTGTCAGGTTTATGATCTACTGTCAAATGTCCATAAGTCGTTTCAACAGCCTTTTCATAAAGTCATAAATTTACCGATGTCTTCGGGAAAAATTCTTCTACGAAAACATTTCACCTGCTGTCTATCCACGGGTGAATTGAAAAGTGTCACGTTATGGGCATTCAAAGCAATGTCACGTGATTCCTTGCCTCCCGGGAACAGGTTTAGCTATAACTGGAAGATAATGACATTTTTGTGGTGTGAGGTTTGAGTAAACAGGCGGGAAGTCCGCTTGTCATTCTTGACCTCAGATAAAAAATCATCCAACACCATCATGTTCTGGTTACTGGCATCAAAGTACTCGTCATCTTCGAAGGGATGAAGACAATGGTGGCGGCGGTAGCTACGGTGTAGATGATGTCCTACGAGATTCTGATAGTGTTATCTGCCTTATGGGCAGACTATTCACATCTTTCCCGCTGTGAATAAGCCTCTTGTGTCTGAACAGAACATCCTTTCTGGACAATGTTTTACCACATTCCTTGCAAGATACCCTCACAGTCATCATGAGTAAGAATTGTCATCTGTCCTATGAAACAGCTGCAACACTTATTTAATACACACTCCTTCATACAGGCGTTGATGTCTTCAGCTTGCTGATGTGAGTGGTGTGTGTGTATGTGGTGTGTGTGTGTATGTATCTCTCTGTGTCTTGTGTGTATGTGTGTGTGTCTTGTGTAAAAGGTGCCCTTTTACAGTATGGCACGTACCAATCGTTGTTGTGAATGAAGCCTTTAGTGAAACCAAGAGCAACTTCCCTCTTGTCTCTGTCATCAACAGAATAAACAGAAGGGATGCTTCTTGCAAGTTTCATTTACATTCAAGCATTGCTGCTGGTCGGCCATCACTGTAAGAAAACATGAAGACGAATAGGAAAAATCAGAGACGTTCAGTGGATATCTTTACCTTTATCTTTTTTTATCGGGTGACCTATTCACAGGAAGGGGCGTTCCTCCATTGGTAAGGAAAAGAAAAGGCACCAAATCCAAATCAATCAATAAGATAAATGTCAAGACAAAAGCCTCTCGACAGGCTAAACCCAAGCTACAAACAAAAATACTGTCTCAGATGGAAGCTCCAATCAAACGAGTAAAGGCTAGAATAAAGGCTGAACGTAACAGGAAGAACCCAAACCACCACTGGAAGAAATGGAGACAACTCTGATGAACTGCTGTAGTGCTCTCTTGTCGTTGTTATACATCTTCAGTCACACAAAGTGTGGGAACATGACTCTTTTGACACCTCAGCGATTACATATAAACCTCAATGACAACGCCGAGTTACAACCAGAAAACAGGACTTGTTCACATAGTGTAAACATACACCAAGAAATTGCACACCACTGAACCGAAACAGCGTCATCCCACTGACACCAAAAGCTCAACACTAAAGAAACACCTTGTGTTGTATATGAGGAGTGCAGCCAAATATGGACCTCCAGGACAAAAATCCCTCTCTGCCTGATGACACTTGCAATCTTTCACATCAGACTATGACATGTAACTATCCCTGTACTTTGTCCACTTTGTAAATCTGGAAATACACACAGAATTGACATGTATGGGTTCTGTCATCTCTGAAAGATAGTTTTGTACAGTGAATCATACATATGTGATGGTCGATAGGCCATTTGACACAGACACCACGACACACAAACACACACACACACACACACACACACACACACACACGCAGACACCATGCCACTCACTCAGAATACAAAACACGGAGGTGTGTGAATCAACTGACCTGTTCTAGTAGTAGTAGT